CAGTGGCAGGACCCTGCATGCTCAGAGCTGGCACCTTGCACCCATCTGGCTGTGGCTGACCTCATGGACAAATGGGGCCAGGAGGATATGCTTTGACAGTTCAAGCAGGCCATGACACCTGGAACATCTTCCAGGCGATAGCTACCCAGATGGCTTGGCAGGGGGCACAAATGACAGTAGTGCCACACAAAGGTGAACCTTGCAACCGCAGTCTACTGGCAGCTGGCCCAGAGGGGAAGATGTCTCTACTGGTTCTGCAGTCCCCATCTGAGTCTGGCAGGTGCACAGCAAGTCACAGCCAGGCAGCAGCCCCCACTGCCAAACTGCTGCAGTGGGTAAAGGGTGCAGGGAACTCTCAGGGCTGCTTCAGCAGTCCAGCTGGCACAAGGGGTAGTATCCACAGGTACCAAACTGGCTGCGCCCCAGAAGCTCCTGAGAGCTAATAGCCCTGAGATACTTGCCAGGGTGGCTTTTATACTGCTGGGGCAAGGACAGGGCAGCTTTTTATACTGCTGGGGACAGCACAGGTGCTAGCCCCAGGCTCTAGCTCCCCCTGGCTGAACATCCAGGAGGAGCCAGGCAGAGTTATTTTGCCCCAAGTGGCACAATTTACTTCATACCAAAGTGCATGTCTTAGCATGTGCGCTTAGGCAAAAAGCCCTGACTCAAATTTGCACTGGTTCTATCTGGTACGTGCTTGCATGTGTGGACATGCTCTTTGGGTCAAATAACGTGGTGTAAACGAGTCTGTTGGTGGCTAAGAAGGCTGATCGCAGAGCCTCAGACTCTCTGGCAAACACTACAAGTGGTGGCTAAAGGGAGGGTTGGCCCACAGATTTCTTGATCTTGTTTCCTTTCCTTCCATTTCTGTCATTTTCAGAGTGAGGCAGTTTTCCTCAAAGTAAGATGTGCCTTCTCTCACAAGGTATCATCATGTAGCCCTGTCCCAAGCTAGTTTTTTCCCAATTTGTGTTGTCAATGCCACACTTCTTAATGTTTGCCTTGGGGATGTCCTTTAGAATTTCATCTGGCCCCCACATGTCCTTTGTCCTTGGCTGAGCTGGGAGTACAGCAGTTGTTCTGGTATACGTACATCAGATATGAGCACACAATGCTCTGTCCATTGCAACTGATGTTGAATAATCAACGCTTCCATTCTGGTGGTGTTAGCATAAGTGAGGATGCTGGCATTTGTGCAATGATCCTCCCACTTTATGCCAAGGATCCTCCTGAAGTAGCAGTGGTGATAGTGTTCCATGATTTTCAGATGGTTCCTGCAGGTCACCCAAGCTTCACAGCCATAAAGAAGAGTTGGGATTACCACAGGCTTGTATAGTAGGAGTTTTGTTCGAGTCCTGATGTTGTGATGATTGAACACATGATGGAAGGAAGAGCTGGCAGATCCTATACTGGATCTCCTCATTGACACTGGCCTTTACTGAGAGATGACTGCCAAAATATGCAAAGTATTCAACACTTTCCAGCTCCTGTCTGACAATGAGGATCTTTGTTGAGGGGTTGATTGGCCCAGAGCAGACTGGTGAAGTGACTTTGTTTTTCCAATGTTAAGGGTCAGTCCAAGGCACTGGTATGCTTGACAGAAGCAGTTAAGGGCTGTTTGTAGGCCTTTCTTAGTATGTGCAATGACAGCACAATCATTTGTGTATTGAAGTCCTATAGTTGAGGCTGAAGTAATTTTAGTTTTGGCACGGAGCTTGCCAATCTTCCTCAACAAAAGTGTTATTATTTTCAATCCTAAAAGTGTTTAGTTTCTTACTGTTTGGAGGACTTTGTGATGTCTAGGGGTCTGAAGGCATTTGCTATTGTATTATCTTTGGACTTACTTGCATTGCTTCCGATGTTTCAGTATGACCTGCTAGACATGATTAGCCTTACTAAATGAGATCTCACTAAACTGCATTCTTTAGTAACAGTGTTGTAGCAGGGAAATGGGAGTAGGGAAGGAAAATCCCCTGTTCATCCCCTTCCCCTTACCTGCTGGAGGGTGAAAAGCCCCAGCAGTGTAGGGGCAAGCTGCAGGAATGCTCAGTGCAATGTGACAAGCAATGTGGCCCCAGTGCCATAGCCTAAAAGATCCCCACTAGGAAACAAGGACCACTGGTAGGAAAGGCCCTGTCTGGGACCGCCCAAGCCAGAACACCACATTCTGGGGAGCCTAGGACCCCAGATGAGGGGATTTTTGGCCCCAATTCACCTGAGGTGACTCACTTTCATATAGGGAGAATCAGCCACAGCTGGAGATGAAGAACCGATGCTGATAGACTGGACAAGCCCGGGGATGACACAACAAGGATGCTGGAAATGGTGAGAGGTCCCATTGGACATTGTAGAGTTTTATATTTTAGTAGCAGGTAGACTGCAGGAGATACCTGGGAGTAACCCTGGAAAATACTGTTAAGGAACTCCAGCTGTGAAGACTTAACAACTGGAGCATGAGTTTGACTTAGAGGCCTGTGGTAGGAGTATAGGGGTGGTGGGGCTCCCAATTCAGACTCCGTAAGTGTCTTGTCATATGGCATCTCAGGATTACACCAGTTTTGCTGAGGAGCTGCAGGACTGGAAGAGCACTGACTCCTCCTAGGCAGAATTCTACCTAGTTTTGTTTTCATTAAGTTGTGCCAGGTGAGTGCCTTGAGAGAATAAGGTGTTCTCCAGAGAGGGCAAGTGGAGATGCCCAGGCTCAAGAGCCAGCATGTCCACAAGTGCAAATAAAAGGTGGAATGCTTCACCTTTGCCTAGATCCAAAAGAATTAAAAAATGCATAAAAAGGAAACGTTTCCCCATCTCCACCAAGGAAGGAATCTTTGCAGAGATGGTACAAGTAATATTTTTCTCCACATTAGATGCAACAGCTGGGTTTTGGCAGGCACCATTTGTATATATGTTCAACATTCCATATGAAATATTCTGCAATTGTAGATTGACTTTTGGGTTATGTTCAGCACCTGAAATGTTTCATAAAAATATAAAACAAATCTTTGATGGCATTAAAGGTACCAAAGTATATGTAGATGATGATATTTTAATAAAGGGATATACACTGAAGGAATATGATCACAGGCTTCAGAAAGCTCTAGAAAGGGCTTAGTCATCAGGGTTAAAACTCAATAGGCAAAAGTGCAAGTTTAGAATGAGAGAAATAACATATTTGGATGAAAAATTAATGGATCAAGGCATACAGATAGAATCTAGAGATAGTCAAGCAAAACATAACAGTCATAGTGACGGAGCTCCAAGGTAGCCATAGATCTGCTCACCCATGCTGCAAAAAAAATGTATGGGTGTTAGATTATTACTATCAGTATCTCAAAATGGCAAGACTTGAGAATGTTACTGAAAAGCACGTAACAGCACATACAAAATCTATCTTTGCAAACATAGCATACCAATTTTGAACTGGTATGGCAATGGACCATAATTTGATGGGTATGAGTTCAAGCACATTGCAAAGAAATATGTGTTTAACTCTGGCCTAAAATATCCACAGTATAATAGATTTGCAGAAAATGGTATCAAAATAATAATAAAAAGCTGCTAAAAAGCTAGAGGAGTCTTACACAGATGCATATTTAGTATTACTAAACTGTAAAAAATCTTTGAAACATGAGCTGTCTCTAGCTGAGCTCTTATGTAACAGGAAACTTAGAAAAGGAATGCCTAATTTGGTAACCACTGATGAGAAATAACAAATTTACATAAATTCTTACAAGATGCATGATAAATATAAACACAAGTTTTATTACAACAAGGGGTCATAAGAATTAGAACCTTTGCTACCTCGAGAGAAGGTAGGCATGTACAATGGTAAAACACAGAGGCAGGAGGCAGTTGTCACTCATGAGATAGCTCCTAGATCTTATGAAGTGCCGGCAAGTGAGTCTGCACAGTTTGATGGCTATGTGTGTGTGTGCTGTTAATGGGAATAAAGAAACCTTTTGCAAAATTGGCTCCTGCCTCAGGGAACTGAATTAACAATACAGTACAGTGGCTCTCATACAGCTGTTCCTTATGTTAATATAATCAGAGTCATAGCTAAACATTTTGTTACCTGGTGCAGGTAATGTGAAGAGTGTCCCACTGTGTGCTATTACATACAAAGATTTATGATGTATTATTGGAGGGGTTTTTAAAATAAGACACTTGTATGATATAATATCAGAATAGTTAAAGTACTTGCAAATATGCATATAGCACAAAATGTGAGTAAAATATACTACACATATACAAGTGGCTGCTTGCATACATAGAAAAAAAGTGGTGCTTTACTTTAAACTTGGCACACTCCTGCGCTAAGCCCAGGGCATGCCCAGAAGGGGCATTGCATTACTTGGACCTGGCTTTCCCAACATCTGTAGTGGGGCTTTTTTGTCACTTTTATCTGATAGCTGATTGAATCAGCCAGCAGATAAAAGCGCCAAAAGCCTTGCTGAAGTGCCCAATCTATACAGACACTATGGAGCCGGGTTGAATTAACGTGCTGCTGCTTCCAGTAAAGCACATTTTTCTTTTTTCTTTTTTTTGCCATGTCTGTCAGCACCCAGTAGGTACTATTTCAAGATATCTACAAAAGTTAAACAGAAAGTGAAGAAATGTATTGTCATGTATGTCAACAGTAAGTTGTTACACATAAAACTGTAAAAATCTCTCTAGGTGGTATCGTCTAAGAAACATTTTTCAAAATAGAGCATCTTCCAGTAATTTGAGACTTTAAAAAATAAAATTCCAGCTCTGACACTATTTTTCACATATTCTGATTATCATCAGTTAATTTATATAAAAACTGCAGATTTACTTCCATATAGTAACTTAATGAAATAAAGTAAGAAATGCTAAGCATTTGAGTGTAATATATAGCTCTTACAATCTCAATATTTTACTACATTAGCAAAAGGAAAATTATAAAAATAGAAAAAAACATATGCGCTTAAGCATGTTATTATTACACCCAAAATTAGTTTTAAAAGGAAAAAGAGAGGATCATCAGTTCGTTGAGCTGCTGCTTGTAGTAACACACAATGCCAGCTACAAAAAGTATTGAACATAAGTACTAGAATGTTCCTGACGAAAATGGCACTCTTGGCTTCAACTGCATGAACAATATTAAATGCATTAAGATTAGCTCTTTTCAAATTAAAACCAATATTTATGAAAATATTACATAACATTAATAAAAATTCCAGAGTTCTTGAGAAAAACCTTGGATTAAAGACACGGTTTCAGATTTTGCCGGGGTCCTCAGGATTCCTGAGGAAAAGGTGTAAAACTAAGTCAGCAGCACTTTTTTTTACATCACTGGCACTCTAACCATGAAATTAGCTTGCCTAAATAAATTGGCACAGTTCACACCAGAGTTTATTGCTCCAGGGTGCAGCATTTACATGTGTGCCTGGTAGGCCTCTGCGAAGCACCAAGTATTTGATTTGGGTTCGGCCGATTCAAGGCACAGTGATTCAATTTGGTGATTCAAATTACTGTCCCAATTTGATTTGGCTGGTTAAGATTTGGAGATTTGGCCACCAAATTGACTACCAAAGCTTTGGGCAGCCCTAACAGATAAGGATACATTCCCAGGTGGTGAGGGAGGGAGTGAGGCTGGGACTAGGGAAGGGGCAGTGGTAGAGGTGCCATTCCTGGACCTTCATCGTGCTCCACCTTTCCCCCCATGTCTGGGCTGTGCCACATCCCATGCTGCCTGGGGCTTCACTTGCTGCCACTCCCCCCAGCCCCTGTGGCAACTGTCCCATGAGCAACCAACACCAGATGCCTATACCACGGCACAGCGCAACCCAGGACCTCTGGTGAGTGGGGACAGGCAGAACTCAGGTGTGGGGGCACAGGCGGAGCATGGTGCAGCCCTAGTTCAGTTGAATTAGAGAAGAAATTAAAAAGGGACTGCACGGTACCAAGAAAGGAAACCATGCTAATGATATATGTCCTACATGAACTCCTACATTTTTAGCATTTTTAATGTTAGAAATTATTTCCAACCTGACATAACAGCTCATTAGCTGACTGAGCTCATTTTGTGTGTAGGCAAAAGGATGTAAAAGACATCCTACCTTCTTTGTATTTGGATATATATTGTGCTTAAGTTGAATTTTAATAGTTAACCAGTTCCAACACATATCATAGATATCATATTATTAAAGTTAAGAGCTGGAAGGGACCTTGAAAGATCATTGAGTCTAAGCCCCCTGCTCTGAGCAGACATACTGCTCAGATCAGATGATCCCAGCAAGGTATCTGTCCAGTCTCCTCTTGAAGACTTCCAAGATTGAGGACTGCACCACCTTCTTGGGAAGTCTATTCCAGATTCTGGTCACCCTTACCATAAAGAAGTTCTTCCTTATAGCCAACCTGAAACCAGCCTCTTTCAGTTTATCGACATTGCTCCTTGTCCTCCCCTGGGGCACCCTAGTGAAAATTTTTTCTCCCAGCTCCTGATATTTACCATTTACATACTTCTACATTAGAGCTGTGCAAAGCTTCAGGTGCTGATTTGTCTTGGAGGAGATTTATCCCGATTCAGCAGCTGAATCTCTGAATCTGAATTGAATTAGGAGACCAAGAAAAAGGTCCAAATCAATTTGAAGCTCT